TATCCGTTGTTTGCCACCAGTCAAAATTTGAAGACTGTTCGTTTACGAATTACTAACAATATGCCCATGAATTATTCTTATTTGTAAACAATTTCGCTGTAATGTTAGTCAGTTTTGTTGACGGCATAAAAGATATTTTCGCTGATTAATAGTTGTTTTATTTTTCGGAAAAGGAAAAAGCTGCCATTGAAAATAAATTTGTGAGTGCAGTGTTATATCAGTTATCTGTTTTCACTTAATCTTGATGAACTAATTCCAGTAAGACTGTTTATTAATCAAAAATAATCTTTACAAGATAAAGATTTACCGTCCATAATTTCAGTTTGTAATTTTTTTTAAAGGTTTACGATATCGATCTGACAACATTGATGGAGGGTGAAAAATGCATTTTGCATAAGAACATTTTTTTAAAAGCTGACTTGATCCGATGATTCATAGATCATCAGTGAATATTTTTCCTCCGAACTACTTTGTTGTTAACAGAACAATCATTTATATTAAATAATGTTCTGTGGCTATTTACTACTGGATATTTATGAAGAATTGACTAACGGAGAGAAATGTAGCAAATTTGTATCATCAGGATTTTAGAGGTTTTACTCTTTTAACGGGCTATTTACTACTGGATATTTATGAAGAATTGATTAACGGAAAGAAATGTAGCAAATTTGTATCATAAGGATTTTAGAGGTTTTACTCTTTTAACGTTTTACTGCCGTGTGTGTCAAGGATTACAAATAAAAATGATTAATTATACATATCCTCAAATACTAAAAATACTCAATACATCATATTCTAATGTAATGTTTAAAATTAATTGTATTCACTGACTTTCCCAAGCTACAGGCATAATTTTTGCACTACGTCAAAATTGAACGAATTTATGACTTGAAAAACGCTCTTTACCAGTATATTATTTTTTGTTCTTATAATGCTACAGTGGACGAGTTTTTACGATTTTCGTTGCAGTTCAATACAGCATGCATCTACATGCTACATTGTTGGCCTAGTTTCTTTGGCAGATAACTTTTCGGCCTTTTTCTCTTTCCTTTTTTACGGACGTAAACATGAATTTATATTTCATATAATGTAGAGATCAATTAGATTCAAAACCAAAAAACGTTACCACCAAGTTTTAATAATTACCGCTGCTGCACGTTGGTCATAGTTACCGTACCACCAATTTGTGGTAGTTAAAGTAGCCACCAATGGCACATTTACCACTTCTACTAGCTTTTGTCATCGCTGACAAAAAATTGTCATAGTTACTGCTGATACCAATTTGTATGGTTAACGCTTCCATGTTGTCATAGTTATGCTGCCTCCGATTTGTGTGGTTATAGTTTACACTAGTTTTTGATAGTCACTGCTTTCAAAGATTTGTCACAGTTATGCTGCCTCCGATTTGCGTGGTTATAGTTTACACTAATTTTTGATAGTCACTGCTTTCAAAGATTTGTCATAGTTATGCTGCCTCCGATTTGTGTAGTTAGCTTTGCGTTCAACTAGGTTGAACTCGATGAATTCGATGATTTCGCAACATTAAACAACAATAAAATCAATCGTTTAAAAAGTGCATTTTTCAGGGGAAATTTGTTTTCGATACAAATATAGCTTTTGGTCTGGCTGGTATTATGAAAATAAAAGTTCTTATTTAGGAAGTAAGTTCTTTACCCCCCCCCCCCAATAAATTCATATTTCCATTCCGTTTTAAGTTTACATACCGATCCCACCTTTATGGTGCTGGTTTAATATTTGACATTTATATATCTATTTTTAAATATGAGCTAGTAGAACTCATCGATCTTAATTAAGGATGTCAGGCTTAAAAAGGCGGGTTGGTCCCTTATCGCCTAAGTCATTTTTTTATCCGTAGATAACACCTAATTGGTAAACATTTGATTATTTACAATTGACAATTTGGTACGTATCGTATACGACACACAATAGCCTTTGCCTTGGGGACGCTTTGAAATGGACGAGCCAAATAAAGAAATCTTCATTGATTTTTACCCAATGACCCAATTGACATGTTCTACCAAATTGGGTAGCCGGTGGCAATTTAGCCAATTTATACCAATTTAAATCTTTCGGCTTTCAGTGTATTCTCTTGAGGGTCATGAATTATTGAAATCTCACCTTGACACAGAAAAAAAGTGAACCGACTAAAATGTTGACCTGTAGCTAAAGCGCCACCTAAACCAATACCTAGAGTATGCCAAATAAAAAACAATAAAATAAAAAAGTGTAACCCTTTACATGCCTTTTAAGGAACAAGACATTTTAAAATCCTTAGACATAAATGAATCAAGGAAATAACCGTGCATGACAAGGGTAAAGCCGTGCTGTACAATCAGCCAGATACCACATACTTCCTGGCAACAATTATCTCATGCTATATCTCGGTATACCACAAAACAGGATCTGTCCTAGGTCGCCTTGAATTCATAGGCTAATATTAGTCGCACTGCTAAATAATCTAATCTTGTCAGTGACAGATAGGAAAATTTGGGAACGTCAAAATGATTAAAACTATCATATTAATTTGAACAAATATTTTGATTTACTTTCACATCAGGCGGTCTTAGACCTCGAGGAAAGTCTTTCTAGTTGTTTTAGAAATGTAATTTATTTTTATTTTTTAAATCAAATTGTATACTTGTATATATTAGAGAGAGCAAGAGAGCTAGCTACAAACAATTCTGTAGTCTTTATTAAATTTTATTTGACAAGAATAGATAAGTGAGACAATCCTATCACTTTCATTATTAGGGAAGAAATCACGAAGCTTAGGTGTTGGACTGGGTGAGGGTCCAGGGTTATTTGGAAGCGTCTGAGGTTTCCAGCATAAATGGGATTTGGAGGTCTGTGTGGTAATAAGGTTGGATACGAAATATACAGCTTGGGCATTGGTTCGAGGAATTTTTAACTGGAGTGACTGGATTCGTTGGAGGTTGGAACGGTTGGTTGAACCCCACAGTTCTATTCCGTACACCCAGATTGGTTGTCGTAACCATTTGAGTAGTTCGTACCGTCTGGTCAGTTTTATATTTTGAGACGAGTGTAGAGGTTCCTCAATCAAGGAGTAAGTCCTTTTATCGTGTAAAGTCATAAATAGCGTACGACATTGGTTTCTGGAGAGGTTTTAGTACCTTAGAGGGTGAAGGTATTTGGTTTCATTGAGTCGAATTCTCCAGTTCTTGAACCATTCTTCCAAAAGGAGAGATGGTACTACAGGTTTCTGAAGGCCACTTCCGGGTCTGGGCTTGCAGAAAGTGTGGCGGTAACGTTCGTCCATGTATGTATGTTGGATTGTACCGTGGTTGATAGGATTGTCTGACGTGTATATTGAATAGAGAATAGGACCAAGGATGCTGCCTTGAAGAACACCCTCTTCGGCATAGAGAATGAAGCATATTTATTAGTAAAATGTTTTAAATTCGAGAATAAATTTTAGACCAAGTTTTTAATTGCGTACATTTAGTTCTAAAATTGTTGTCCAATTTTTGGTAGAAATGATACGAATAATTTGGAAGTTATTGAAATGGCAGAAACGGTTTTGTAAAAATCAATATCTCTCCCCTTTCCCATATCTCAGGCTGTATGTTTGGCGCTTTACTCTGTCTTCCTGTGACCGTCTCTTTGTCCTCTCTCTCACACTCTCGTTATTTTGCTGGTTCGCTTTTCTCTGTTTGTCTGACCGTCTCTCTCTCTCTCTCTCTCTCTCTCTCTCTCTCTCTCTCCTCTCTCTCTCTCTCTCTTTTTCCTCCTTCCCTCCCTTTTTCTCTCTTCTTACATTTCTTTGCACTACCATTCTTCCAAACAGGAGAGATGGTCCTGGAGGTTTCTGAAGTCCACTAATGTATGCTGAAAGCGGAATCGACTTCTATGTTATGAATAGTGCATCAGGTTTGACGGTTTGATAGAAATGTCGGACTTGTATTCGGAATAGAGAATGGGACCAAGGATGCCGCCTGGCAAATCACCCGCTTCAGCATAGTCGATGGAAGATGAGGTAATAAGTGAATGAAGTCCTATATTAAATAGTGGTAAGCTTTATATAGTAGTAGGTTTAGTTTATGCATTTTGATTCTTATCAAATCTTGGACTTCCTATTGGGTTTGGGGGCTCAGGCGCTTTTGGGCCATTTCGCCATCTTGTGTGTCTTCGCCACAATTAACATCGAAATTTACACACACAAGACAAAAAGACACTATACAAACCGATTGTACTGAAAAGGGTGCTTGGCTCAAGATCAAATTAATACAGAGAAAACAAACTAAAATTGCGAAATGACGAAACGCATCTGACAGAACTCAGCGGGGATAGGTAAACTAAGATGATTATTAAGGATCAAATTACAGGAGGAAATCTTACGAAGTTTTAGTTGACAGTCAAAAATATTTAAACACTATTAGGCGTTTTCCTTTGCAAAAGTGAAACTAATGATCTCCAAATCTGACATGGTTCTAAATTCCAAATGCTGTATGGGGGCTTTAAAGTTTTCATTGTTCGACAATGAAAAGGGGTTGGGCTTTGGGAAAGGAGGTACTTAACCCCCATTGGTAGTACAAATAAAATAATAATAATAATTTTTCGTGAATATTATAAGTTTATTAAAACTAAGTTTATTCTGATGTTTAATCGAAATACGTGCCCTACCATATTCCAACAGCTCAAACAAAATGAGTTCGCTAAACCCACTATCAAAATGTGTAAACTGTTTATTTTTATTGTAGTTTATTTTTACAAATGACGATTTTAGCTATGCTATGAAATTTTAATTTATTCGACTGTTCTCTTTAAACAGGAGGCTTTTCTTGAAAATCGATGTGGGGAAATAATATGAATCACACAGTAATGTTTTTTCGTTCTCGTTTTTTCTCGTTTTTATTTTCCTTTTTCAAACCATTCGTTAAACCAGGCTTATTTTGCTTTAAAAGTTCAAATACATATACAAAAATATTTCAATTAATATAGTTTTGTTTGTTCCCTTTCAGATAACATCGATCAAAATGAGCGAAGAAACCTGGGAATCCTGGAAGGTGAGTTGAAGGAAATTTTATCCACAAATTTCGTTTCGTCCTGGAGGCAGTGAGCCTCAACGTCTATGCGTTTGCTGGTGCGTAACCAGAACAATGAGAACATGAGGCAGTTGTGCTTAATTGGCACGTCCCTTGTCATGTCATATTCAATTTCTCCAGTTGATAGAAATTCCGCACATTTTGTTTTATTGTTTAATGTCGTCCACTAATGTCCCATTTAGAAAATATAATAAAAGATAAAATTGATCATCTCTCTGTCTATTCTAATACTGACGAAGATGACATACCCAAGCGTCTCCACTAATAATTAACAACGATGGCCGCTGGGCCATCCCTCAATTAATGTTCACCTACCATTATTAATAGAAAAAAAAAAGACGCCGCAAATATTTTATGACGTAATTGTCACCATGTGACCCAATAAAAATAATTACTCGAAAGGGTTGAAAAAAAAAATTGTTAACAATGATTTTTCCCTAAAACGAAACCCGATATCTCAGATCAGTTTCAGGTATCAGTACCAAGATCTTACATCTAAAATAAACCAGACAGGTAGAAAATAAATATTTGGAAGTGATAACTTAGAAATACACCCCATTTTAACCTCTTTAATCCTATCGGGCTAATCCCTTTATCGCCTCTTCTAAACCAATTTATTAGCCCGTATATTTTCCTTTCATTTATAGCTGGTTTGTCCTTTCCTCGTTCTAAAACGGATCGTTTCTAAGTTCTATCTTTCTAGACTGTTGGAAAAGTATATTTGCAAACACAAGATTAAAGCGGTTTTAAATATTAATATTTTAGCTATTTCGAATTTAATAAATAATCCATATATGTTTAGCGGTCAGAATTATCCATATTAATAATCTCAATTAATTATTCGTTTTAACTAAGGTCTTGGTTGCGATGAAAAAGCTAGTGTGACAAGCAGGATTCGAACCCACGACCTTCGGCTCAATATGCCGCTACTCTACCACTTGAGCATCATGACTTCGATCCACTCATGAGACTAGCTATTTCATCTCAACTAAAACCTTAGATGAAAAGAATATTTAATTGAAATAATACCGCTAAACATATATAGATTAATATAATAATTAAGTATTAATTCATTATGTTTAGTGGTCTAATTGACAATATTAATTGTTTCAATTAATTATTCTTTTTATGTAAGATCTTGGTTGAGATGAAAAAGTTAGTGTCACAAGCGGGATTCGAAACATTCGAAAGTTATGAGTTTGAATCCCGCTCACGACACTAACTCTTCACTTAACCATGACCTTGCATAAAAAGAATACATAATTGTGATAATAATTAAACAAGTAATCACTTCGCTAACAGCTCCCCGTGGCCATAAGTGCTGAGAATCGAATCCTGATTACACGATATTTGAAAAATGGCAAAAAGTGGGAAAATTCGAAAAGTTGTAGCCTGAGATGATGAGTTGGTGTCTGAATGGATCAAAGTCACGATAGCTCAAGTGGTTTGAGCAGCGGCATGGGCCAAAGATTATGGGTTTGAATCCTTCTCTTCACACTAGTTTTTTCATCTCAACCAAGATCTTAGATAAAAAGAATAATTAATTGAATTAATAAATAATATTGAATATATTGAAGATAGGCTTTTTTTTAAATGATTAGTTGCTATTCTTCAGCACAATGTTTATCTCCTATCATTTTTAATAAAGATAAAGCCAATAATTAAGTTTATTAAGGCTATTTTTTAAATTTAATTCGCCAATCGATTGGACATTATGATGTGAAGGCCTTAACTAGTGTAGAACTAAAATAAAAATAGTATAATTGGAGAAATCAAAATTAAATGTGGGTTTTTATATATGTTTATGTAGGTACATATTACATCCAGATATTTACAATATAACACATATAATAAAAAAACACTAACACGATGATGATGCAGTCTTGTATTTCCTCCCTTGGTCATCTACTATTCTCAGACTAACAAACAATATGTACACATTAATTTATTTATATACAGGCAATTAACTCTTATATTACCCAAAATATAAATACCATTACAATTTATATTTACAATATAAATATACAAAAAATTCTTGAAACAATATGTTACCAACTTTTAGACCAATAAATTTAATAAAATAAAATATAACATCTATAAAAATGTAATATAAAATAAAAGAGTAATAATAACAGAAATTTCCCACTTTGCAACCCCTTAGGCAAAGGCTCAACCTTTCGAGTGATTTACAGGAGTTACTGGGTCCCCTTTGTTTCTTTCGAGGTGCACTTTTCAGCTTTCTCAAATTTATTGGAATTTATAATGAGATTTAGGCCTTTTCCCAAATTGTTATGCCATTGAATGTTTGCCTGCTAATGTTTGAATGAGAGTTGTGCATGCAAGATTCCTTTTTTTCCAGAAGTTTTTGAGGCTGCCGGAGCGGAAAAATGAAATGGACATGTTACTGTGTTTTGTTTCTTATTATTGTTATGTAGAATTTGTTTATGTATCATATTTGAATGGAAGAAAAAAGGATAAGGATGTCATGCTGAGACTGTTTCTAGTCTGTCTCCATTATTATTATTATTATTATTAGCCATACAAGCCTATGGGAAATGTTTAAATTATGGAACAAAAATTCAGAATTCTAATTAAAAAAAAGAAACAGAAATAAATTTTTATATGTAATTTAAAATGGGATTTTTGCATACATTTGGCTTTCCAAATTAAGAATTTTAAAAAGATAAAGTAAAGTTTGGATGGCAATAGGATAAATTAGTTTACGAGTGAATGTTTGGAGTCAGAGCTTTATAGCACTCAGAAGGGATATAGCTAACCTAAGAAAGAAGGTTTGAATGTTAGGGCGTGAAATTATCTTAGCCATTAAAACGCCGTTAAAAATTAATAATAATGATAACAGAAATTGATAAAGTAATAATAATAAACAAATAAATATTGAAAAAAAAAGTACGATTACTTTTCCATGTAAAGTCAAAAATGAAGGTTAGTGTATTAAACTGATTGATGAGGTGAAAAACTTTGTGATCGAAATAGGAGAAAGGCTAAGTACAACATATAATGCAAGTAAAATTAGAGAGTGCACACGAAGTATCAAAATATATTCTCCAAATTGAGTTGTAAAGCTAAAGCGGACTAGGAACTGAGCCCTAAAGCCCTATCGACGATTTATAAAAGCGTTTACCATAGTATAATCACAAATGTCGCACATATCAAAAGCCATACCAAAATGGTACTTTAGATTTAAGCAGGGCCAAGGTCTACAGGATATCCTTACAAATCAGCAGCTATGTCTAACCTACTACATTGTCTTTCAAAACAGAGTAGCACTTAGGCAAATCATTGATCAAGAAAATACTCTGCAAAAATAATTAAAAAATGAAAAATCTATTGACACATATGGTGGCAAGTTTGTTGAGAAAATAGTTACAAGAGTAGACTTTTAAGCAATAATCTAAAATTGAAAAGGGAGTGAAAAGCTTCCAGTTTTTTACACAATGTAAATGCTACATTTTTAAGTATAAAAGATCATCAGCTTGTAATGCGCAGTATGTCAAATGGAAGATGATACAAAGTATATATTTTTCTTGTTCACTCTACAACAAAGAGATAGGGAAAAATTAAAAATACTATTTCCAAACATCTGGCTACCAGATCTGGAGGAGTTAAAAAGCTTCTTTTAAGATAAGATAAGGATCTTTTATATTTATATATATATATTGCTCTGAGAATGTATCAGCTAATTTGTTGTTCATAATTACATAGAATTATAATTATTTTATTTATTTTTATTTTTGTAGGTCACTTATAGCAAGTCATATGCGACTCCTGAGGAAGAGGCGAAAAGGAAGGAAATCTGGGAGACTACTAAAAAACGAGTGAAAGAACACAATGAAAAGTACGAGAAAGGGGAGGTGACCTTCAAGATGGGTGTCAACCAATTTGCCGACTTGGTGAGTATTGCTGGTGCTGCGCACGTTGTGTACAAAATGCCATTATTAACCTGCTATTTGCTTAACAGAACAAAATTAAACCAAAACGTACAATTTATAAAATCTTATTTCTGTGCTTGTGTTTATTAAAGTTTTTCAGCGTGGTAGAAATAATCAAATTTCTTAAAATATAAATACATACGGTATGTGGTACGAGGTAATGTTAATTGTGGGCTTAAATATAAATCAAACAGTTTTTATGTAAAATAATTGTTGTAAAAGTTCCAAAGTAAAGTCACTTTTATTGATTAATAATAAAGATTTGTAGTTGGATACGAGCCTTCCTGAATGTATTTCTCCAAATTAAGTTGTGTATTATTTAACTATTGCACAATACAATAGTGTATTTTATTTAGTACAAACATATCACAACGTGATAAAATTATAAACCGCAATATGCTTGTGATAAATAAAATAGACTGTTTTATCACATCATTGTGATATGTTTGTGGTAAATAAAATAGACTGTTGTATTGTGCAATACTTACATAATATCTCTAGCATTACATACAGCAGCTAATAGTCATTGTCATGTTATTAATATTTTTTGGATAATATTTTGATTTTACATTCAAAAATTTAAAAGTCTCATTTTTAAATTTCCACATTATACATAATTATTAATTGTTTTAACAAATTAAATTGCTTTATTTCGAGTATTGTTTTAATGTAAGAAAATAAACATACTTATTTGCATGTTTGTATGGCTTGACTATCACAGCCAAAGATCACAATAGGGCACAGTTTTATATAATAAATTCCACACTTCAGTCAGTATTACAGTACTTTACAAATGTTGACTTTGATTGAGACGTTTTTTATTCACATACCAAGCACTAATTGCATTTTACAGTCCCACAAATAAATTGCACATAATAGAACTACATTCAAATAAATATTGAAACTGATAGGACAATTTTTGGATTCTGTTGAAGCTATACTGTGACATTCTTGCCATGAATGGAGAAACTAGGGTCAACTCCTGGTCTGCTAGTCCAACACCGACTCGCCGGCCTGTCCCGACTTGAAAAGGAATTTCAATTAAAAGTCTTTTAAAATTTGTACAGTTCAGAAAAGGGCTTTTTTTCTTGCTAAAACCTCAAGTTGCCTCGGACCGCCCATTAACGGAACAATTATTTATGCCTTATTGTAAATTTGATTATTTAATAAAACTTTAGTTTTAACAAAAATAAAACAGGTTTTGTGTGTTTTTCCTTCTTTTGCCCTATTTCTTTTTTGTTTTGTTGCTATTTTAAAACTGAATTAGATTTATTTGCTTTGAGTTCTGTTGCTGCTTTAGTAAGCAAAGGTTTTTGTTTTTGTTACATCTGCTTTTTCAATCTAATGAAAAAAATATTTTATGTTCATTTAGGAGGAACAAGAGTGGAAGTCACGTCATTGTGGCTTGAAGACAAATAAGGAATAACATATTCTATTTACTAAGCACTGAAGAAGTTTCATACATGACATAAAGTAATCCTTTGTTCTTTATCAAATTAAAAATAATAAACATGTTGAAAAATCTGTAATTAAATAAATACAATTATTATAACTGACATTATTTTTTTATACAAATAAGCCAAATGTTTTACATCCAACTAAACAATAATCATTTATGATAAATTATCTAAATATTATGGTTTATTCTGTAAAAAAAGTTGAGCAACTCACTACACTACACGTGTGTAATATTCAGTGACTGTTATGTAAATATAATGCTAAATAATCACTATACTACATTCAATTTTGATTTTACAGATTATTACTTATTTTGAGAACTACTTATTATCTTGAGAAATCAACAATTAAAAAAAAAATCTAATTAAAGTTTACTCAAATAATAGTTCAATATTAAAAAAAAGCATTTCACTAAATACACAATAAAATATTTACCATAGGAAATTAATAATCAATAATCTAATGATCTAGCAACCAATGATACAATGATAAATTCTGGAAAATCATTGTAGAAAACAATTCTCAATATAAATGCGTGAACTATTTGTCAATAACATTTGTGTAAGAATAGAAATTCATAGCTAAAGTATCTATCTAATGGTTAATGTTATAAAACCTAATGTTAATGTTTGGTAGACCATGACCAATGACAGGTAATGCACATCACTAATATAGTAGCAATATTAATCAATTTAATTATACAATTGAAAAATAAACAAAGAAAAATGTTTAAGCCACGTATTGAAAAATAAAGCTGTAGTTATGCAAATTAAATCTGTCAATGCTCATTCCCATTCATTAGTTCGGTCATTTGATTGATCATCCTTCCTTCCCAATTCTTGTTGAATTGGCCCTTCAGATAAATTTTTAAAATCTTTACTCCTTCAGCGGTGGTTTTTAATTAATTAAAAAAATAATTCAATATGGTTTGGGCGTTTCTAATTATTTTGGTGTGTCAGATGTGTTTGGCTTTTGGCATCAGTGTTGGGTATTAAATGTTTCTATAACTTGATCATCTATGATAATCCTTGTCTGTCGCAAAGTTTCACAATCGCACTCAATCTATACTTAATTCTTATTTTGCCAAAAATAAGATTTAATATTGAATTTGAAAAATATTCATATACCTTCAGAGGTCAATGTGCATAAAGTTAGTGGTTCATCACCTTGCAGAAATGAACACGAAAATTTTGCAATTTTGCTAATTGTTTGGATAATAATAATTGTAAATTATTGCAATTTGGGTTGCCAGTATTATTTATGTTATAGAAGGCTCCAAACAGGTACTCTTTCAGACTAAATCAATATTGTTATTGATCTGATTGTTGCGTCTGGCATATGAGTGAATTCTGCAATTCTCCAAATGTCAATTGGGTATGATAAAGACCGCCCTTTTAGGTTGAAAGTTCAACCAATTCACACTATCCAGTTGATTCACTTTAGTGTTATTTATTTATTTAATACGAGGATTGCTTTTTCTTTTGTCTGATGTTGAACGCATAAATACCAAATCTTACAGTTTTACCATGAGTGCAAAGAAGCACTTCTGTAACTATTACATTAATCCATACATATGTTTAGCAGTTGTAATTGACCATATTTAATTATTTAAATTAGTTATATTTTTATCTAAAGTTTTGGTTAAGATGAAAAAGCTAGTGTGACGAGCAGGATACAAAGCCATGACCTTTGGCTCAATATGCTGCTGCTCTAACCACTTGAGCTATCGTGACTTTGATCTACTCAGACATCAACTGCTCATCTCAACCTACACCTTTTGAATTTTTCCTCTTTTTGCCATATTTCCAAATATCGTGTAATCAGGATTCAAGTCTCAGTGATTTATGAAATGGCCACGGGGAGCTGTTAGCAAAGTAAGCACTTTTATAACTATTATATTAATCCATACATATGTTTATCAGCCGCAATTATCCATATTAATTATACTTTTTATCTAAGATCTTGGTTGAGATGAAAAATCTAGAGTCTGAGTGGGATTTGAACCCATGACCTTTGGCTAAATACACCGCTATTCTAATTACTTGAGCTATCATGACTTCAATCCACTCAGAGCTTGTGACAATGATATTAATATATATGGATTAATATATCTATATGAAATGTTGTCATCAACAAAAGTAGAGATGTGTATACAGTTTTGGTCACAGTTGGCCGTTGACAATGGTGCACATCAGGCAAAAATATGGTGAAATGCAGAAATGCATCTGGTAGACCAAACCAGCTAGGTTGAGTCAGGATGATCAGAAACGACCAAACTACAGGTTTATCATGCTGCAGACCTCAATAAAAGTGTCAACAAAATACAGACTTGTTAAACTTAATAATGAGCCCACTATTAAAAAAGTTGAAAGCTGAACAAAAAAAATGTTTAACACAATTTTACATTTTGGATATTCCATGTTCACTAAACATGGTGTCAGACATCCTAACTTGCTGCAAGTACTTTTATTGCGAAAAACTAACAGGACATAAAATGAAATTTTATTTTATAATTGCAGTTTTATGATTAATAAAACAAAATTTGTTATGAAGGGAGACCAGAGTCTCGCCCTCCAGACGAAGTTACCGTGATCCGGCCTGGTGACGCTGTGCGAGCAGTAAAGAATGCTGTGTGATAGCGTTGGCAGCGTCAGTGGGCCGGGTCGTCCGAGAAGCTCCTGCAAGTTAAGGGCATGACTGAATGATGGCCTTATGAGAATCTGAAATGAAATGAAAGGATCGTGTTAACTTGGTTGAGGATTGGCCATACCCATCTGACACATGGACATCTGCTTCTGGGTCAAAACCCGCGCAGGTGTCTCGCTTGTAGAGAAAGGTTTCTCAGTGTGTCTCATCTTGTCAAGGAGTGCCCGTGCCTTGGCCCCCTACAGGGAGCGAGTAAAATGAACCCTGATATAAGAACGGTACTCGGTAAGAACGGTAAGAGAAACGGGGGTGTTTCCTCACTTATAAATAGTGTATAAAACGTGAATATCTGTGTAAATAAGTAAGTGTATCTGTGTTGTGTTTTATTGTCGTGTATTTATTTGTAAATAATTTATTTATTTGTTTGTTGTAAGTGGGTGATCTTTTAGACTGTAGGGCCGATGGCAGAATATTGAGTACCCCATCGGCCATAGCAGTGCAGTGTGAGGGGGCTGAAATGACTTTATTGTTGGAAGCCCCTGGAAAAAAAATTATAATTTTATTATAATAATGATTTTATTAATTATTAATTAAACAGATTAAAGCCTTCTCTTTATATTGATATCTTAAAACTGTTTTTAAGCACAGCAGCAAATTTCTGGGCCTATTGTTTTTTTCCTTTTGACACATAATGTTTAATAGTTTTTTGTGAACTTTTCTGCTCGCAAGTTTAAGCATTGAATACAATGTTAGCATGAATTATGTTGTGAAATGGTTGATGTAAGTATCCCATTGACTATTAGTACAGTTATATTTTATGTTTAGGAATATCATGTACTTAGCCTTACTGGAGCCAATGTTATATTCAAATGAATTTAAGAATGGGCAAGGATATTGTTGCTATGATGGAATATGGAAAAGTCATTTTCAATTTTTTTTCCTCCAGATTTGATAATTTCCCTGTGTATTGTACACGATTACACCTTGTGATAAAATGTCAAATCTCCAGCTACCATTAGAAACGCTAAAAAGACGTTTGTTAAAGCGTCAAATAAGATTGTTTATCTCAAATTCACCATTTTGTCTCTGATTGATTACTTTTAAGGCTGCTGCAAACTGAGTATATGGCATGCTAGTTGTTTAGGTGTTTTATATATTAATAAAATGAAAATATCTATTCATGGCGTATCATTGAATATGCCATATTTTTTGTTCTATCTATGACTAAAACTAACCTACTATTAAACTTTGTTATAAAAATTTTAATAAACTCTTTAGGAGTAATAAACTTATATGAATAATGGCAAATTTGAAAGGGTCAATCTATCAAAAATGCTACATTTGCACTTTGAAACAAAGAAACAAGAAAAATCACTGATTGAAGTGATAATGTTATTTTTTGGTAAGTAAAATTAGTGAACTGATAAATAAAAATATATTCTGTTCTGAATGCGATCAGGTAATTCAAGACTTGTACATTAATTCAAAAGATTCAATTATTGAATTTACCCTAAAAAATGTATTGAAGTCTGAAATTAATGCTCTAAAGTCTAAAACATTCTTTGCTTGCTGAAGTTGTTAATTTGGTTAACCGAAAATTTGATATAATGCAATGTGAAATAACTGTTATAAAGGCTCAAACTGACAAATATAAGAGTGAAACAACTGAAAGTATTATCCAAGAAATAGTTGATCGCTAATGTCGTTTTTTTAATGTAATTATACACAACTTGCCTGAATCTGACTCACTACTGATACTAGCACAAGGACCAAGAAAAAGAAAAAAGTTACACTGTTAAGCAATTTCGTCCTGCTAGATTTTAAGTCCTCAATTCGTTCAACTAAACCTATGTCATATTCATTCAATGCCCAAGACTTTAAAAATGTGATTTCATAATTCTAAATATTAAAACAAATTCATTAATTACTCCAAAACTTTAAATTTGTTTGGATTTTTTAAAATTCTAAACTTAATGAAGCTATATGTTTATTTGTCGCTTCTATTCTAATCACGTCAAAATGTAATTATTTGTATCCGAGGTGGTACATTAGTCAATTAAATTCACTAATTTCGTGGTCCGCTTGACCAATTAATACATTACAATTAATTAAGGTTTTTAGTTGAGATGAAAGTCCGAGTGGATCGAGGTCACGATAGCTCAAGTGGTAGAGCAGCGGCGTATCTAGCCAAAGATCGTGGGTTCGAATCCCTCGTGCCATTAACTTTTTTTCATCTCAACTAAAAACCTTAATTAATTGTAATCAATTAATAAAGTTCATCAAAGAGAAAAAAACTAGCTCGTAAAAATTAGTTCTTTGAACTCTTACACTGTATTCAAATTTTTAAAAGCTCAATGCAAACTGGAGTCTAAAAGAGATGAAACATTTCTATCTAAAATTGAACATAATATTACATGATTTGAAGTGTAGAAATTATTTAAGACAAAATGATAATGGATAATCTAGTGAAATGCATTTGGGAAATAAAACAACTAATTCTACTGTTGATATATGTAATCTCTTTACTGATTTATTTTCTAGAATATTCAATAAATCTCTTTATCTTCCTAAATTAAATAATAATTCTGACTACAAAATCTTTCCAATATTCTTTTATCTGAAAAGTGTTGTCCTTGAACAAATAACAAATTTTGGATTTGAATTTACTGTTGGCCCAGATAATATTCCTGTTTTAAAAACTTGTGCTGAAGGCTTAGTTTTTCTTTTGACTCATCTATTTAACACCTCATTAGCCACTAGAATTTCCTTTTAATTTTCAAGACCTTTCACATTATTCCTTTTTTATAAAAACAAACACATCTAATATTGAAAATTACCGTGTGATTGCTAAACTGTTTTCAGTTCCTAAACTATTTGAAAGTCTAGTTCATGATTACATTTTCCCATTTTTCAAAAACATCATCATCTCTCAACAGTATGTATTTACCAAGGGCGTTCCACTGAAACTAACTTAGTAGTTTACTCTGACTTTTTGTTTACCAATTTAGAAGCAAAAATTCAAGTCTATGCAGACATGGCCCAAGCTTTTGATCTACTTAATGTAAGTGTTGTCGCTAAGCTCATGTTTTGTGGAATAGGGCCTCTCTTATCATGGATTGAAAGCGATTTAATGAATAGATGCTTATCAGCCTCCATAAACAATTCTTACTTTAAACAAATTGAGCTACTAGTGGAGTACCTCAAGGGTTGTACCTCGGTCCTTTATTTTTTGTCATTTAAGTAAACGGTATTGCAGATGTTTTTTCTGATATGAATTTTTTTACTCATTACAAATGATATACAAATCTATTCACAATTAAAAGTCTTACATGCACGTACTTCAAGAAAATTTAAGTAATTTTAGTCTGTGATGTGCTGACTGGATTAAAAATCAATGTAAATAAATATTCTTTTATTAGTTCAATTCATTATTCTCAATCAAAAACTCTATCCCAACATCTTATAAATTAAATAACCAGGTATTGAACAAATAATACTTTATACATCATTAGTCTGGCTGCTTTTAAAATATTGCTCAATGGTTTGGTCTCCTCATTTAATAATTCTCAAAAATTCTCTGGAAAAAGTTCAACATAAATTCTTTAGATATATATTTTTTAAATAAGGTGAAAATCTGAAAAATTGCAATTTTAAAATAGATTATGAGTTCAAGGTTCCCTTTGCAATTTAGAGACACTAGCTTCTAGGAGAGATAAACATGTTATTTTCTTATAAAAATTATTACATAATTTAATAGTTTGACCAGAATTACATTTTACATAACATTACATCAATGTTTCCTGCAGCTATAACTTTAGAAATCTAAATTCTTTATTCATTCATTACTACAGAATTAATTACACTTATCATAATCTAATAGGAAGACTTTAAAGAATATATAATAAACTGGCTGGTGACATCAATATTTTTCATACTTCTTTAAATATTTTAAAATGTCTTGTTGTTATATTTTAATTTTTCTTTAGATCTTATTTATAATATTGTTCATCTCATTTATTCATTTTGTTTGCACTTTTGTTAATTATACTACTGTTCAACTATTATTTGTATTTAACTTATGTTCAATTTTTTCTATGAGTTTGTTGTTGTTGAGAGAAACCTGGTTTTATCATTTTCATTTATGTAAAGGCTTAAGCCATTAATTATTGTAAATAAATAAATGTGTAACTAATAACTTGTATATTTTGGAGGTTTTTTTGCTGATTGATTTGTAGTTTTTAGGGGAAGGTGAGCTGAAAGAAAGTTAAAAAAAAGTTAAATATTTTATAACCTGAACCAAAAAATATTATATTATTGATATTATCCCGCTCGTAACATTAACTTTTTCATCTCAACTGAGACCTTATATAAAAAGAATAATTAATTGAAAAAAGAATTTGGTCAATTAGACCACTAAAACTTAATGGATTATTATTATAACATACTGTTTAGGCCTATTGCCGCCTTGTTGTTGCCCGCAAGTTATCACGGAAAGTTAGATTTATTATTTTAGCCTATTCGTCTCCGTATAGTGTCCATGGCACCAAGTAGTTTTATTCAAGTTCACATTATTTCTAGAAAACATCTTCTGGTCAAAACATGTATATTTGTTTAAAAAAACACATTATCATGCTTAAAAGAAAAAAAAATATTGCTGAAAAATAGTAATATAAATGGAATAAATAAAGAAGAACCTTCTGGAGAATATCATTTAATGGAAGCAGTACGATACAAATTAATTTATTTGTTGTGGCTTAATCTGACTGCTCATGTGCAAAGTTGTACCTGTAGGTCCTTGCTTGTCAAGCATATCGTTTGAGGCTTCTGAGCCAGCGAATAATTAATTTTTCCCTGTTTCCTTTTGATTGGTTAAACTTGCAAAGTGTATTTTACGAATCTTCCCCACGTTAAATAACATAATTTTGTATTATTTAGCCATTGCACTATTTGTTCTGTAGGTTTTTGGTAATTTACAAAATATAATAAGTGTTTGGAAAAGAAGGAAAATGTTATGTAATATTAACACTATTAACAATAAATTCAAGATAATGTCTTGTAAATGAATAATAAATAATAAACCAAAGGAATACAAATTACAGAAATGGGACAAATATTTTATACAAATAAATTTTGGTTTGCTCAATATTAATGTTCGCTAAAACAATACAAAATATATTGCAATACAAGAATAGTAAAGAACAAAACAAAATAAAACATAAGTAACATTTTTTTCCATTTTCTTCTGTTATTATCATTATTAACGTTCCACTTTATTGATTAATCTATACACAATTTTTAATAGCGATTAGTCAGGATGGTTGATAGTTTTAATAAGTTTCAAGAAATACTTGTTTTTAACGATTAGGCTATTAAATTTTTATCAAATGTGATTCCATTTCTAGCATTTTCTTGTTTTCATTTTAACGCAACACATCACAATGTCTGCTGCTTCAAAAATGCTTTTTCTCCTTGTATTGATCACACTTATTCTGGGATCTCGTAAGTCAACGGGAAAATATTCTATTAATTTTTAAGTCAGTTTCAGTTACTTTTTCTGGTTTATATAATTTTTTATTGTAAATTTTTAAACTATGAGTATTGAATATATATGGAAAGTTTCTTTTATACATTGGATATTGTTTTTATTGTTTTCAAATGGGATGTATTTATAAATTTCCCAACGGAAAAAATATTCACAGCATTAACTATTAAAATATGTGTACTTTTAATACTTAATGGGCTGTTTTTTTAAAAGTAATTTGTTATAGTCAGTCATTGTTATAAAAAAATTTTTTTTACTGCAAGAATCTATATTTCAGAAGTTAAAACTATTTGCTATTGTAATATCAAATCTGGTGGTTTGCGAATTATGGGTTGCTGTAAAGATAATAAATTTGAATAATAATTGTAAATAATAAATAATTTTGTAAGCAATTCACAAAATAATTTCTTTATCTGAAGGGCAAAACAGTTTGATGTATCATTAAATTGTGTTAAAACTTCATAGAGAATTATTTAAGGCAGTTTTTATTGGTGTTATTTGTGTTTATGGTAAATTATGATCTTCCAAATATATCAATGTTACATGAACTGGAGTCAAAATTCTGTTGAGATTTAAAAAAAACAAAAAACTTTTATTTAATATTTTGTTTAGAAAGCATACGGAAAAAGATGTCATCTAAAGACCTGCCAGTATTACCTTCGGTTATATCGAAGGATGAAACACCAAGACATCTTCTTATTAAAGAAAAAGGTATTTAATCGAGAATATATAAGAAGATATAAAAATTCATAAATTATTTTAAAGGTAATTGTTATCGATATGAGAGAAGGATAGCAGTTGATGGGTGCAACATGTGTTATTGTGATCTTACTCACTTCAAGTTTACATGTACAACGAGGGTTTGCATCTATAATGCTAGAATGAAAATTCAGCCAGGTTTGTTTATTGTTTAATAAATAAACTGTTAGTCAAAAAGCTAAATTGCAGGTAATCGATGCTTCTTTCCAAGGGCTATTTATGTTGGGTATAAGCATACCTCATGCAGATGTGGTGAAGAAGGCGAGCTTTATAATTGTCTTTCAAGATTGCCTTCTAAAAAATCCTTGATGATTTCAAGTCGCCGTAACCCATTACGAATTTAACTTTATAATTTAATTATTAATTGGTCAAGCGGACCACGAAAAATAGTGAATTTATAATTTAATTTCTTTGATGACAATGATACCAGAAAAATCAGTTTTATTGGTTGGTAGGTAGAAAATGAAAATAAGGTGTTATAAATCTTTCTAATTGAACTGCTAATTATTAGAATGACTGTTTTGAATATAAAAATAGATTTTTCTCCCTTTATATGTTCTCTGTACATGTATGTATGCATCACAAATCATTCTGTGTGAAATATGAAAAAAATTATGCTAATTTTAATAAAAATGTATTTAAATAAAGATGAAATGCTGGTTCAATTTGCCCAAATTCAGTACCCGCTGTTGCAGAGTATTTAAAATGGTCCATTGTAGAAGATTAGGATTAGGAAATGACCATTGGGGCTGCTGAAAATAGGCCAATGAGGTCAAAAGGTACAAAAAAATTGTATGCCACTTTTTCCTTTCTTTTATCCACTATCTTTCTTTCAATTGTATTGTACTGACAAGTACATGAGTAAGCTAGGTTTACAAAAAAGTTATTACACTCATTTTTCGCGTTTTTGTAAAGTTTTGTGTATTTTAACATAGTATGTTTAAAATAAAGTTATGGTGCTGTTTTTGGATAAAAACTCTTTTTTTATCTCTCGACCTATTACTCTACTTTTTAATTTTTTAGAAATCTTTCAGACCAACACTTGGCCATCCCTCAGTTTTTTGTCCTTTGTAGGAGAATTTAACTTGACTAAGTTAGGGACTGAGGTGTGGCCAATTGTCGGTTCAAAAGCTTTCTAAAAAAATTGTTAAAGAAAAAACTTATGTATTTACAACAGTTTTGCATTAATTACCAAATGTAATGAAAATCCTTTTTTTTGTTGGTTGAAAGTGAGATAATAATTGCAATAATAACAAATTAGAATTTTTTTTAGTAAAACTGCTAATTTTTTCATTAAAAAAGTAATAATACATTGATTTTATATGCATTATTACATGCTTATATCATTTAATTATGATTTGTATAATTCATTTATAATAATCAAACAAAAGTAAGAAGAATAAAAACAAATAATTATAGTACAAAGCATTTTTTACAAGATTTATTAAATTTTATACTTTTTTGATATAACAATTGGCAGATGTTACGATACTACAGTGGTTGCTCCTGAACTTAGCTAGCTTGAAGCAGCCTGTATCCTCTTATTTGTGGTTCCATGAATTCTTGACAGACCAATAATTATCATCGCCCTGCCCCATAGGCAACTGTTTTATTTTAATGTTCCACCTAGTAGAGTTGAGTGTTAGGCTGTCATTTAAATAATGATTTTCTAAATCAAAATTGAGTTCACGGTACAATGGGGAGGTTAGCGAATTTTTAATATTATCTTCATATTCTTTGTTGTAATTAATTAGTATAGAATTTCTTATTTCTTTAAGGCAGTTTTTCCATAGTTCAGTACAATGATTTAGTGTTATATCTATTTTAAACTTTTTCAACTGGATTTGTATTTGCCTGAACCAGTACATTTGCTTTTTAATTACCTGAGTAGCTAAGATTTTTGGTAACCTATTATCTGGGAGATTTAGAATTTTAATTATATAATCAAAATGCAATTTAATTGTATACAGAAACATGGGGAGCAATTTTGTTTCCACTTGGACAAAAGAGGTGGGTGTATATTGAGGAGTCTGAGCAGTTTTTTGATAAAGAACCTTTGCACCCTCTCTATTTCCTCGTATTCTTCCCATACTGGGCTCCATAGCAAATCACAGATCTACAGGCTGTATTAAACAACTTCGCCTTTACTGGGAAGCTTATATCGTTATTATCCATAAGCTGGCGCTATGGCTTATTATATTCAGGCCCATTTTAACTTTTCCCGACTTTTCTGTAAAGTGTTTGGTTAAGGACAAAGTGGGAGTAAGTCTGATCCCTAAGTATTTGTACTCATTAACCTCGTCAATGCATTCTTTACCCAGATGCCACTTCCCATTTGATGCTGGTCTGCCTCCATTCCTAAAGACCATCACTTTCGATTTTTCAACATTGATTTTTAAGTTCCAGTTTTTGCAGTAATTATCTAGTGAGGATCATTCCTTGCAGTGTATATGGGTTGGAAGCTAGTAGCACCAGGTCATCTGCATATGCGAGCAATTTAACCTTACCACCACTTTCAAGGCATATTCCACCACCTAGCTGGCTCTCTAGATCATTTAGGTACGGAGAGAATAACGTGGGACTGAGGAGGCAGCCCTGCCTTACTCCCATTTCTGTTTGGAATTCTTGTGTTAGGCCATTTACGCAGTATTATTATATTATTGTTATTATAATATGTATTATGTTATTATATGTATATATAGGAAAAAATATCCTCATCTAAGGTATAGTTCAATACAAAGTAAGAAGAAGTAAAAGGAATAATTATAGTGCAAAGTGTTTTGCTTGTTATAAAGATTTATTTAATTTTTAAACTTTTTTTTATACAACAGGATAGCTGGCAGAAGTTGCAACACCACAGTGGTTGTTCTTGTTCTTAGCTAGCTTGAAGTAGCCTTTTTCACCCCAGACTGTGTTCCATGAGTTCTTGACAAGCCAGAATTCATTTTTGCCCTGTGTGCCATAGCCAACGACGAGGACACCATGGTCAAGATTTTGTGAGTCGCAGTCAGGTTCGTAGTAGATTCCACTGGAGTAGAACTGGAAAGATTCATGGCTGGCATCCATGGCAACAGAGACTGGACCAACTTTGTCAACAGCTTCTTCCAGGGCATGCTCATCATTTGATGCCACATCAACATACCCTTTATCCGTTGCTCCTACGCCAGAAGGCTTAAATCTGCAGGATTCATCCTGGAAAGATTAAGTACAAATAATAAAACATAAAGCTTGCAATAATAACAAAATATTACAAATAACTTTTTGAAAGATAAAGTTTTTTTTTAAATAATTTTGTAATGTAAAAATGATAATCAGTGAAGTAATGGTTAAAAGGGTAATAATAATGTCGTTTGGTAAGAAGAACTACATATAAGAAGAAAACTGGCATATAAGAGAAGTGAAAATTCAAAAATTTCCTTCATGTAATTAAGAAAAAATGAAATATGTAATTTAAAAAATTTAATTAGTTATTAACTAATAACTTAATTAATTCTTTCGACATTCTTTGTTTAAGCATCACAAATGTAAGTTCTTTTAGAACAGGATAAATGTGCAAATACTATTTCCAACTTTGAATGTTGGCTTTAAGTCTCAGGAAATGTTTAATATCGAGAAGTTATATGTTGAGAGATAGACAGCAAAATTACAAAATTATAATCTAATGGAAATCGTTAAATAAAATAAACTTACTTCACCCCAGTAAGGATAGCTTTTTTCAGTGTCAAGACCTTTGTTGTCTCTGACATACTGGAAAGCTAAATCCATGAGACCACCACTGCATCCGAGGTTGCCATAGCTGCCTGAGCAGTCGACGAGGTTCTGTTCACTCAAGGAAACAAGTTTACCAGTCTTGAGGAAATGCTGTCCTTCTAGAGAACCAGTCTGAGAAAGGACAAAAACCATTTACATTCCTTTCTTATAATGGTTTGGAAATTATAGTCTTACAGAGCTGAAAGCCCAGCAGGAGCCACACTGTTTCTGATCTTTCACCGGGGTAACGGCACCCTTTTTCCTCCAGTCTACACTCTTAGAGACTTCGACATTTGTGTTTCTAGTGAATTTATAAAGAGGCTGGGCACTATGCTGGGATTTGGTCTTGTTAAATCCATTGTAGAAGGTTCTGAATTCAGTAGACAACTAAAACATTTTTTAGTAATATTCAAAGTTGTGAATTTACCTATCTATTATTAATAATTAATATGTTAGTTTATTATGTAAAATGTATTACCAAATCTCCAAACTGGTTCATTTTCATTGTGAAGGTGACTTCTCCATTTTGGTGCCTGAGGTTGTGTGCGTCAATCTTGGCTTTGTTTTGAAGAAATATCGCTTTTCGGACTTGTTCTTCATTTTCAGTTTCATAGAATTTCGAATGGGTTTGCTGGAAAAATAAAATAAATTTTTGAAAGTGAATTTAATAAGGGATGTCCATACCTTAAATTGTTTCCAGAGAGAGTTGTCATCTGCTGGGGCACTGTAAGCAAGTGCCGCAAGGCAGAGCAAGGCTAAGAAGGCTTTCATAGTGTACTCTAGATGAAAGAGAAAAAATATGTTTTCTATATAACAACATAATTGTCATGAATAAATAAAGAAATAGTTATGCTTACTGTAACTGTACAGCTCTCTCTGACCAATAATGCTCATTTACAAAAATGTTCACGTTTATATACGGGTGCAATTTGAGTGTTTACTTCAGTCGTATCTCGATTAAGTGACATTGTCTGTGCACCACTTGAAAAGTTTTTATTTGGCCTTTTTAAAGAGTAGCTAGAGATTATTTCCCCAGAGAGGTAATCAACGAAATATATAGGTGAAAGAAAGCTTAAAAACTTAATTTTTATTTCAATCACAAATAAAAACTAAACATAGGAAATAAAAGGCTAGGAAAGCGAAGGATTTACTATTTGCTACCATAAATTAAAATTTATAGTTAAGAACTTTTAATAAAATAAACTGCAATTGATGAAATTGATTAAATATTAATTTAGTCAATTTATAGAACCTGAGCGTTCAACATTCTGGCATAGTCTATCCTTCTATGATTAACCAAAAGAATAATTAATCAGTTTTATTTGAAAGTAATGAACAAAATGATGAATACATTTTTTTGCCTTGTCTTTTGTACTAGATGAGATTAATGATATATAGATTTTGAGGGAAGATTCCAGTGGCAATAGTGGAATCACACCCACACCTGCAGGATCTATGAGCCAAGAGTCTAACGCTTTAACCCTACGGAGGTGTGGTACCTAAAATATTTATTAAATTAACAAAAATAAAGTCAAGGTTAAGAATTATCACAATATCTTATGAGACTCCACATTCATCAATTCTATTCAATACTTTTATTTAAATTCCATGGGGTGTAGGATTTGAACCTAGAACTGCTAGATGACAAATATGAGTCAAACGCCCAAACTACTAAACCACCTCAATCCTCTGAAGAATCTAGAATACGATGTAGATAAATTTTCAATCTTTTGTTTAAACTAAATAAATAAACGTCTTGATGAATGTTTTAATTAAATATAAATAATTATGAAAGACATGGTTGTACAAACTAAAATTATTTTCATTCCTGGATAATGATTAACCGCGCTGGCAGCATATAATACATTAGACTATTAAGATAAAAATGCACGATCTGGTCATAATTGACCATAAGGTCATTTAGAAAGGAGAAATGTTAAATAAAACAGCGATGGATTGCAATTCAGCAACATACAAGTTTTGATAAAATATATGATGATATAAGTGAGTGTGAATCATTATTTACCGGCTTGCCATTCTGGTATCCATTAATATTACTTAAATATGAACGTCTATTTTCAACTATTGGGTTAAAGCCATTATTCATTCTATAAGGTCTTTAGAAAAAGTCACTGTAATTTGTTATGTCATTATGCTTGAAACCACAGGTTTAATGATTACGTTGTAAATTCTTAGAAATATATAAATGATTAATAATATATATGGTAATATTCCTTAAATGCGTAAAGAAGGAAGAGTGTTTTCGTCATTTCTTTCTAATTGGTGCCATTCCTCAATAATAATTTTTTGTGCAACAGACAATTTACTTCGTACCCATCAACTTATTATGGAGTTTCACAAAATCAAAAATACAATCAAAAATTTTTAATACAAAATAATATTGTAAACTTTAAGATTTAAAAAATACAAGTTGAAACATAATCGCATTAAAACATACAGTTTTATAAATACAATAGTAAAGTACAGTTGAATTTGAATGGTCTGTAAAATGACAAAGTTTTCTGAACTGTGAACTAACGAAGTATTTCACATCCTCGTGGTAGAAAATTATTATGCTAAATAAAAAATAAAGTATTGACGGGCAGCCATACCACATAATTTTGGTTTTTATTTATTTATTTTTAAATTGGCCTATCATTTCAGTTTTAATATATTTAAATTTTAAAACTAATATGTTGTTAATGACTAAACTAATATGATATTAAATGGTCAAGCGGACCATTTAATATGTTGTTAATATTGCATCATCCTCATTGTGATAGCATAAGAAAACAAGGTTGTGTGGAACTATTATTAAAATGTAGCAATAAAAGGAATTCTAATGGCAAATTTGATGAGGGCTTGCAAACCCAATTATGGCAATATATTTTAATAAAATATTTTACATAAAAAATGAATGGCAGGAATCTTTGGAAATATGTACAACCAATTTACTTAATTCCTTTAAAACATATAAATAATTAAAACATACAATTATTGTTTTGAAAGGATGTTGAGTATGGAGTTAAACAAGGGCATATCGCACTCAAAATTATCTTTACATCATCACATACAATAAAATACGTAAAAAATAAAAATAAAATTACTCTTCCTGAGTGGTATGAAATGTTGACAAAAGTCACTCGTCTTCAACAAGGAAAAAAAAGAAGATAAAATTAATTTATGGAAAAACCTGTGCTTTGTTTCTTTAAAATAAAAAATAAGTTATAAAACTAGAGATATTTGATTTTGTCTTGTGAAATGTTCTTTCTACATTAATGTTTGTTAAAGTTTAAAAATCTATTACTATTTATTAAAATTATTAATTTGATCCTTTCTCTCCTTTAGAAATTGAATAATTAAATAGACAATCACATTCATTCTACTTAAAACACTTAACCTTGTTTGAATTTTTATTAGACTCTCTGAATTAATTTCAAAAATATTGCATAAAAAATAGTTGATTGATCCTTGAAGAACCTCAGCCAGGGGATTAAGGTGATGCAATTAAACATCCATCACTCGCCTTCAACAAGGAAAAAATAGAAGATAAAATTCATTTAGGGAAAAACCAGTCCTTTATTTCTTTCAAATATTTACCTCTGATTATTTTTATATCGCCTGATCAATACAAATTTAAAAACAAAACAACAATAGTCTGGTAACTTTGCTTTCTTATTTCACACAGTCAAAATATTGTATGAACATCATTTTTGTAAAAATATACATATACAACTTTCAGATTTTTTAAATTATATTTTATTTCAAGCTTATGACAAAAATGAAGAGTTGAAGAGAATGATTTGTTAAATTATTTATTTAGTACCTGCTTTGGCAGTACATATACTGAAAATTTATTTATACGACATATTGTGTGTAGCACAGCACTGTGCTATGAGCCAAAGAGTAGATAAATTTCTCTATTAGAACTCTACAAGACTATGCTCATGAAGAACAAAATAAATAGAAATTTTACAATTATGTTCATTTGCTTAAGCACTATAGTAATTTAAATAGTACTATCGTGCACGCACTTATTGCACAGTTGAAAAACAATATGATAGGTACTACAAGCTATAATTAACTTGCTACAATATTTAGCAGGTTAATTATTAGGTTTCAGCTGAATTCTTCAGTCATGTCAAAGTTTCAGTCTTCTGAGGTGACGAGGGGGTATGGTATGGATAAAATCAGGGGATTTGAGCAGTTGATGCTTTTTATACGAAGTGATTGTATGTTGCTTTGTTTGTGATTGTATCACAAACCATCTTTAATTCAAGATCACATTACAGTATAAACAAAACTTTTTAATTTACATAATTTTTATTAATCGCTAGACCTCCACCAGTAATAACAATACTAAATTACTTTTTTTTCTTTTCTTTTACAGAAGGGCTAAATATATATACAAACTTACAATCAATGATTGAATTGTTCCTTCACCACATAGATTTGGATGCTTTCATTCAACCATCTTAGTCACATTTTATTGCTAATGCACACACAATTTCTTTACTGAGGCTAGATTAATCAGGGCCCAACACAAACATAGTAAAACAATTTCAATGCATTTTGTAGGCAGTTGGTATTTAAAAAAAATAAATATACAGGCTCTATTTTTCCATAAATTAAGATATTTTTAGAGCTAGTAATGTGCAGAAACTTAAATGTAATGAGCAGACTGCGGTGGCTGAGTGGTTAGAGCATCTGACTCGTATTTGCCAAGCTAGTGGTCCTGGATTTGAATCTCGACAATGCCCATTGGTTTTTAATTGACAATAGTATGATAAATTTATTGTAAAGTGGTTTCATCCCTTGTCCATGACACTCACCCCCACATTCACAACTTGATCCTTCTCCATGGTTTGGCTATCTTCCTGTTTTTATATTTCAGACACATTTTGCCTTCTGTGAAAAGAATCTACACAATGGAAAATGCACAGACTGACCACTGAAAATGGTGAAACACTCTATCAGACAAATCCAGAGAGAATCAAGACAAGGGTGATCAGATAGGATCGTTTCACAAACAATTTTTCCAAATCCCAATGCTTACTTATGTTTCATATACTGAGAATAAGGAAAAATGACAGGATGTTCCAGTACTCCAGATGGAGTACCATGAAGAGGTAGAAACATCAAAACATATGTATGTTAAATGCCAAAACAAAGCATTAACCCAGAAATGGTACACTATTATAATATTTACACTTTGGAATGACACTAACACCTTAAAGGCAGTGCACGTAAATAAAGAAGGATCATTTCCACTTTTAAGTCCCAGTGGAAGAAAGAGAGACATTGCCACCAATGACCCGGTGGGGGGGATCTACGAGGTAAATGATCATAGGCTTTATTGAACTTTTTCCATTGGAAAAGTCAAAATATTCACAAAAAGTAAATTTAACAAAATCAGAAATTCATGAGTTTTAATAAAAAAAAATATTTAATTATGATGGTTTGAAAGAAAATTCAGCAAAACAACAAAAAATCATTTAGTGATTTTTTTTTTAAATTGCCATATATTTGTATATTAGCCAAGGAACGTACATCTCATATGTGACACATATTCTTTTTTGTGGGGGGAAGGGTTGCGTGAAAAAAAAGGGCCAGCGGCAATGGTGAGAATTGAACCCATGACCCACGGAGAGTATCAGCTACCAAGCCCCCTTCATGATAGATTAAAATTAACTAACAATTTATTATATCACAGTATAGATTTTCTAGTGTTTTGGTGAATTTTGTTTCAAACCATCATAATTAAATATTTTTTTTATTAAAAGCCATGTACAAAAGTATGTTGTACTTATATAAAAATGAAAATACATACATATAGTTTGAAATAAAAGATAAAATACGAGGGTCCAGTTTTTGTCTTTTTGTGTATTTATATTATTATGATAGATTGCATAAAACAGACTGAACCTTATTCTTAAGTTCTTTGACTATCTGGTCATAAATGCAATATAAAGAACAATATATTTACAATTGGTCAGGAAGTGTTTATTTAGAAGAACTAAATAACAGCATAGTTTAATGAATTATTTATTTACAATAATTTTCAAGGTGGATTCATTATTGCATACTAGAAAAACATAACAATTGATACAACTGAGCTGCAAATTATTGAAATTTGAAATCCCTATCTTTATATGCAACTTCCCCTCTGCGGAATGCAGCCTCCCTTTTCACCTGTAATATAAAAAATCGGTTATACGTGTGTTAGAACAAATATTAAAAATAATACAAATTTTATTTTTACTAACCCGATCATTATTGAACATCCAAAATACAAATGCAAATGGGACAACTAAGGAAAGAAACCCCATTAATGATGTCTTGGGTGTTTCTCGGAAGAACTCAATCCTTGTGTTCTTCATTGAGATGTATCTCTGTAGTGCTGGGTCAAACTGAAAATTTAAGTTAAGTTTAAGTTTAAAAGCTAAGTTTACATGTTTAAAACTTATTTAAGCTATGAAAACAAAAAAAATAAAAAATAACATTAACAATCAATGACAAGTTTTTTAAATTTATGTCAGCAAGTTTCATTAAAAACACATACACACAAAAAAAAAACACTACTTTTATGTAAGAACAGGTGTGTACTGATTCCAAGCGTATTGAAAAATGCATTTAACCAATTCCTACTGATGAAATTTAAAAGATTTCATGATACAATTTATTCAGTTCAAAATTTAATTTTTAATTATGGAAGCCATGATGACGATGATGATGATGATGATGATGATGATGCAAAGTCTTACTTCAACGTCCTCCCTCGGTCGTCTACTACACTTTAATGTGTGGCTACCTTTGAGTTCTAAAATTAAATCCTCAAAACTTTAAAACTACATCGCCCTCATTTTGGACAACTGACAAGTCTGTAGTTTTAATTTCAAGTGTACCACACTAGCAAAAAAGATATGGTAAGAGAAAGGTTTGGCTAAGCTTATACTTCAATCTGATTGTGAGCTTTTAGTGGTCGGCCGATTAAGAAGTACGATCCAGTTAGACAACTGGAAGTAGAAATTTTTGACTTGGTTCCATATTGCAGCTAACAAACCCAGTCTTCAGATTAAATTATTTGCTTCTTTAACAATATCAGTCATCAGTTTATATAAGTAAGGCACCCTGGGAAAAAGGTATCCTTGGCATGGTGATATTACATGCAAAGAAAATATAATCATTAAAGTGTACTAATTTTATTGAATTAGAAATTTGGAAAACTATGTCAATTTAAATTTTAGGCGCTATCTTTTCTAGCAGGGGAACTTTGTCCTCAAGTTATTTTATACTCATGGCATCTGCTAGGCTGAGGTTATATCCAATTCTACCAGACACATGGAGATCTTCCACACCCTTCCTTTTCCATCCTCACCGTCAACAAAATACTCTTTTCCCCCCTTCTGTACATAATCTGGCCTCTCTCTTTCAAACTTTTGGAAAATCGTGAGACCTTCCTTTTCCTGGAAAACCATTCAGCCACAAAATCTACTTCTCAATGGGAATGTTATACTTTTGTATATTTCTCGCCCTTGTCCTTCCAACCCTCTACCTTCCCTCCCATCTACCCCTGCCGACTTTCTAATTTTTCACCTCTTGTCTGCCAAGTGGTCTCAGTTTTAGTATACATCATTTATGTTCATAGTAATTTCAGAACATATTTTTGTTGTCTTTATTTATATAGGTGTATTTTGTGTATATATATTTTTTTCTTCTTAGCTATGTACTTGTATGTATATATGTACCTAAAAATAAATCATTAATCATTAGGTTTTTTTTTGTTTTTTCGTTATAATTTTTGAAAATAGACTTTTCGGGTCAAATAAACTTTCGATTAAACAACTTTTTTTTTTACATTCAATTATTTCCATTGGAAAGTATAATATATGAGGAATGTACTGTCAAATTTTGAACAGAAATGGTACAATGTAAAAGGAGTAAAAGTAATCTAAAGTGAACTGTTTGAAATTCAATGCAGAATACAAAATAAGTCACCTACTGGCCAAGGCTACAGGCAGAGGAACGCATTTTTGCTTCCAAAAATCAGACTTGAAAAGGTTAAAGAAGCCATGGTGTTGCAAATAATCACTTTTCTATTGCTGATTTTTTTAAAAGAAAGTGCCATTAAAACAGGATCAAATGAATTTTTTTTTTGTTCAACTAACTAAAAACTATATTCATTATTTGCATTTTCCTTTAGTATGAAATTTAAATGAACTGCTCGACCACTGTCTTGTCTGTGTGGCCTTACATAACCTTATTCAGTGAAATAAGAAGTTTGGCCATATATTAAAACAAGTGAGTAGACTAAGTATACAGTTGCTGTGAACGTTCTACACCTTGGATTAATATAGACAGTATTAAGGTAGAGCGAGACAATCTTGACTTGGCTAATGTAGAAATTTATCACTTTGATCTGAGCTTTTTCCCTTATTCTATGACAGTAATTTTAAAAGGACAACGGACACCCCAGCCACCTGGACGTCAGACCCCCGACAGTGACCATCTGCAGCTGGAGGAGAAGGAGACACCTATAACAATCATTTTAACCTTAATTTTATACTGCGACCGCTTCGAGGATGTGGATAAAAACCATTACTTCTAGATTGGCATAAAAAGTCCACATACCCCAGGTCGCAGGGGGTAACATGCCTGTTTCCTCCTCCCGTCTGATGCGAACCACCCCTCAAAAAGGTCCAGTTCCCAGAAGACCACGTCAACCCGTAGATATACAATTTACACTCTCTCAAAAATTTGAACATGCACTGATAAACTGACTGAAGCCGCATTTGTATTACAACTAAGTAAGTTTTACTATCTCCTGACATTGCAATAAAGATTTAAAAAGTCGTTGCCTTTGTTCATCATGTTCTGCACACAGAAAGTTAATCTGTTAAGTTAATCCATATATGTCGCACGTGCTACAATTAGGGGTAGGTCTCAAGCCGATGCTATTTAAATATGCCCTACAAATACCATGCCCCGTTCTCAAACACATAACAGTGGTAAAAAATGCTTTACTTTTTCCTCCTCCGACAAACCATGGCTTACTTGACAGTTTGGGAAATAGTGATTTGTAATATTTACCTGCCTCAGCCGAGTTATATATATCCTGTCAGTTCAAAATTAATCTCCACCTATTATTGCTCCGGAAGTCACTCCTTTTTTCCATTTTTTGGCATTTCCAAGTTTGATCTGAGCAACCAAGGCAGAATGATAAAGCCAGACGTACCAAATAAAACCACTTTACCCTAGAATTTGACAATACTGTCCATCCACATAAATGAAGTTTTATATCTATACAAATTTACTTCTTTCAGTACCAGGGTAGGCAACCTGGGGCAGGGCGATGCATCCTTGGCTCGACTAATGTGACACAGCAAAAATATTCATATGCTTCAGATTGGGTTTTAACTGCATTGATCTGAGCTATCAGATGCCATTTAATTAGTGTGAGGCACAGTCAAAGATGCAAATGCACTTTTGTGAGTACTTTTTAAGTCATCCTGGAACTTAGTCTTAGCTCAGATAATGTAGGTATAGTAACAACTGAAAGTACCAGTTTGTACCGTTTGTGTCAAGAAACCAGTTGTTGGTGTATCTGAATGAAACAAAGCGAAACATTTCTTATTTACAATTGCGTATGTATTAGGCTGAAGCTGCCGAGTTCCACCTCTACTGCGAGTGCAGAATCACTTTTAGCATACTTTTCTTTCTTTTTGGATCGTTTACCACAACGCCAATCTTCAGTAATATCGAGAGCTTACAGAAATAACGAAGAATTACAAAGAGGTACGAAGAAGCTATTCCTCTGTCAGTTGGGTATTAAAAGTAAAAAGCTGGTGGAAATCAGATATAAGAACTCACCACATGACCACCTCCTTGGACGTGAGGATTCGTAATTTGCTTGAGGTATTCCCTTTTTAGGGCCATCCGCTGTTTATTTTTTTCCTCGATAAGTTGCTTATCGTACGAGGCCATCGTCTTTAAATCTATTGACCTGAGAAGTAGATGTGAACTGAGAAGTTATTTTATCCTTCAGAAATAACCTTAATTAACCTTCTGGTTGAGGTTTCTTCTGATAGCAACTTCAGGGCGGGTTACGTCATGAAAGGAATAGTACAATTCCCAGCAAATTGAATTTAATTAATTAATTTTTTATTAAGCAGCAGGGAATTTTTTGTTCAGTATAAGATAAACATACAAAGTATTAAATTAATTTGGGATTAAATATTCTAAAAATGTGCAATAAATTTTGTTTTGTAATTTTGAACTATCAAAATTCAAATGATTAATAATCTATTACAATATATAAATAATTCTTATCTCAGTATTTCATACTAATGCTTCTAGTTTTTTCTCTCTCTACTGTGTAGGGGTTTTGGAAGAAAATCAATGTTTTCCCAGTGAGTGGTTTCAGTTTTATTCACAAGTCATCTTCTGGCCTGCAATGAGGAGAACAGATTGTTTAAGAGTAAAAGTATTAGCTAATGTGATTACAAACCTTAACACAAAAAACTTAAGTTTTACATTAATTTGAAATTCAAACTGTATGGAAAGTATAAACATAAAGAAACTCTTATCCTCTTAGAACAGGACTGTTAGTGGAGAGGCACAAACTAAAACCAAAGAATGGTTCAACCAGTATTTTATTTATTTATTTTAGCAGTGAATAGCTAATTTTATTTAAATAATTGGTTATATTTAGCAAAATGCATGACCATAAAATTATTTATCTATGACTAAGGTAAATGCCACATCAAAGACACCCCTCACATATTTTGAACATAAGCATTCTGCAATATTTGAAGTAACAACAAACAACCAAATTTTAAAATTTTACAGTAAAAATCTATGATATTTTAAAATTTGGTGGTTTGAGTTTTAATTAACAAATTGTTTAATAATCTATACCAATATTCTAAACGGTATGTTTGATTTAAACAAGTAAACACAAAAAATTAAGAAAATATTATATCAAATTTAGCACTTATTTTGACGGGTAATCGCTAATATTTCTTGAAATTATGCAAAATTTCGGTTTAACATAATTAATTTGATTTTTATAGTAATGAAAATTAATATTAATATGATCACACACTGCTTTGCTACATAGGATATAACATTTTTATCAAAAAATAAATCAAAGGGAACGTGTGTTTGTGTGTCATACAGCTTAATAAGCTTAGAGTGAACATTTAGATCTTTTATTTTTAAATTTAAGGATGTCAACCTTTGGAAGATGCTCAAAGTTGTGCGGCGAGTTAATCCTTGACATTTAAGTCTTCTGAAATTTTAACACAATGGCTTTTTTTATCCTGGCAATTGTAGTCCTGTTAAATTGACAACTTGGACATTATGATCGACTATTGACTTATGCCTATAATCATCTCAAGGTAGGGTTTTTATTTCGAGACTAATACCAGACAGATATTAGGCTCAGTGCATTGGGCACACTTTCTATTTGCGTGTTTTGCAACCCGAAAATATCAGGGAGCCGGTTAAATAACGCTGTCTGCAACCTTGACGACGACAGTACGGCCTTCAACTTTGAATACATATAATGTATTGGGAAAAAATAGAAATGTGGAAAATGCGGATCGAAATATAAGACACAACTTGGAACTCTAAAAATTGGGATTATAGTAATTTCTGTGCTTCGCAGTGATCGTTAACAAAGAAATCTCTTTAATCTGTAGTCTAATCTGCACCAAACACCAGCCGTATTGGTGCCAGGGTAAAATCCGTATGAACACCCAAAGGTAATTCATAATTGGTCATGATGATTTCAGCCTTCGTGGGAAAGAAGGCCGGGGGAATCCTATTGTAGGCAGATAGGCATATGAAGTGTCAGAGGAAATACATAGGACGGTTGTACAACTGGGCTAAGGAACTTTCATGATCAGGATGCATGATAAATGATCCAGAACTACCAAGAAAACTCGTCCAGGCAAACATTTTATAACCGGTGTGAAGATTTCATTGCCACTAAACGAATTTAATTGATACATAGTTAGAGAGAGAAAAATGTCCGATTTTCAAGAAAAAAAATATAGCCGAAAAAAAGCGTATACTTAATAATTCTTCAAACTTCATTAACGTTAAGTTCCGCTATTTTTAACGTCTGAATATGAGAAATTATCATAGTAGACAAAACTGTCAGATTTTCCAAAATTTACTGTTGTGCTCAAACAAATAATATTATGTATATATACTCCGGCACACACACAATATACACAAAAAGTCGATTTCCATGTTAATGATTGATATATAAGTTTAGCAGCTTTTATTAAAGTACAATAATCTTTCTAGTTATGATCGTTCGCTTGTAAAAACATAAATCGTCAATCTTTTTATTTAAATAAAGGTCCAGTTTTCACCTTTTAATTTAGACAAAACATCCTAAAACATAAAAGGATGACGTCTCGTAAAAATGAAAACTACTGAAACGTTTTTTCCCTACTGTTCCTACTAATAGAAAATGTTCTTTTTCTATGATTGATACATAAGTTCTGACGTATTTATGGAATTAAGAGAGTTATATATGCTTAAGCCACGATATCTTTCTAGTTAAGACCTTTCTGGCACTTGAGGGCCAATCTAGCAGTTATGGGCCATAATTTAATCTATTGTTTCTGAAAAATTACGAAAGTATATTTAGGTATATTGAATTATGGTAAATAAGAATTTTTTTAGTATCTGCATTTATTTATTAGTGTACTATTATTTATTTGTGAACAAACCAACAGGCAGACGATTGTCTCAGAAGCTTCAAATCTTGTATTAAGACTGTACTTAAAAAATATTGTTTATTTGTAAATAAAGCTTTTTTTCTATTTATCCAATATAGGCTTAATTCACGATAATTCCTCTGGGTATGATTGTTAAACTTGAGTGTGCTCTAAGTTAATCTTTTATTTATGAAAAATTACGAAATATACTTTGAAAATTGTTACGTTTTCTACTTTCTTTTTTATGTAGTTGTTTTTCCTTTTTATTATCTGTAAATGGCGAGGATAATGAACTATTACTAGCTATTCTTGCGGACAAATAAAAAGGAAAGAAAGGCAAAAAGGTTGTTGAGTTCCTCCAAGTCCATCCTAGCGACTTCTAGAAAATTGTCTTATTATTTAGAAACAGTAGTATTGGATTGTTTGTAAATGTTGAGAGGACCTTTGGACATGTCTTGGACAACGTGTATAAATAGACAACATGTGTAATCAACTGTTTAAAAAAGTACCATAGTTAAGTACCACGTTGTGTTCCTACCCTTCCTTCTATTACAAAAAGTCCATTTCCACAGTTGTAATAATGATTAATCGAAGTTTAGCATCATTTATTAAAGTTTACGATTAAAAATAGCAGTATAAAATTAAACCACGATATTCTTTCTAGTTATGATCGTTCGCTTGTAAAAATGGAAATCGATATTCTTTCTATTTAAAAAAGGGCCAGGTTTTAACTTTTAATTTAGACAAAACATCCTACAACGTAAAAGGATGACGTCTCGTCAAAATGAAAACTACCCAAATATTGTTGTTTTCGTACTGTTCCTACTAATAAAAAATATTCTTTTTCTATGAATGATACATAAGTTGAAATGATGAATGGTGGAGTGAGTGCGGTGTCCTTTAAAAAAAAAAAATAGTTCCTACTCACAGTAAGTTGTTTCCAACGATCTGGATTTCGAGCTTACAACTTATCATCAGGTTGAAGGAGTTCTAATGAAGTTCAAAAGTGTACTTTTGCAATTTATGTAGAGAGACGTGGTTGTAGACGCTGATGATGAGCTATAAGCTCGAAATCATTGGAAACAACTTACTGTGAGTAGGAACTATTTTTTTTTTACGTACCATTGCGAAAGTAATGTATACTTCCTTATATATGATAATCTTTCTAGTTAAGATCTTTCTGGACTTGAGGGCCAATCCAACAGTCATGGGCCATAATTCTAATCTATTGTTTCTGAAAAATTACGAAAGTGTATTTAGATATATGGAATTATAATAAAGAAGCCGTAAGTTCGAGAATTTTTTAGTTTCTGCATTTATTTATTAGTGTACGTATTTATTTGTGGATAAAACCGGCAGACGATTGTCTCAGAAGCACCAATTCTTGTTTTTTTTGACTGTATTTAAAATACTATTGTTTATACATAAATAAATATAATACAACTTTTTTTTCTATTTATCTAATATAGGCTTAATTCGAGATAATTTCTCTGGGTATGATTGTTCAACATGAGTGTCAATATAGCAGTTATGGTTATAAGTTAATTTATTACTTATGAAAAATTACGAAATATACTTATAAAAAGAATAAGGACGTATATACATGGTAATAATATAAATGGTAAATATAAATGATAAATATAAAAATACAATTAAAGAGTAAAAACTGAACAACAAAAATGAAAGACATAATTACTAACCAAATAAGGCAGAGGAAACAAAATAAAGCTGAAAGACAATTGAAACTACAATAATTAGGTACATATTTAATGAAAATAATGCTCTTTGTAAATATAATAAAACTAGAGTGCGAGAATTGAAAACATTAGATCTATCGCCAGCTTTACGTAGAGGAATGCTAAAAGTGCTTTTCCAAGCATTGGGGAAATTATCTGTTTTTAACGACTTGTTTAGAATATAGTGTAAAGGAGCAATAAGAGCCGCAGAACAATTTTTAACTAATATAGGGGGTATGCAATCGGGACCAGAAGACTTTTTCACGTGGAGTAATGAGATAGAATTTAGTATTTAGTAGTTATGTCAAGTTTTTTCTTCCCTTTTTATTATCTGGAAATGGTAAGTATAATGAACTATTACTAGCTATTCTTGCGGACAAATAAAAAGGAAAGAAGGAAAAAAAGGTTGTTGGGTTCATTATCCTAGCGACTTCCAGAAAATTGTCATATTATTTAGAAACAGTAGTGTTAGATTGTTTGCAAAGGTTGAGAGGACCTTTGGACATGTCTTGGACATTTTGACTGTTTGAAAAAAGTACCATAGTTAAGTACCAAGTTGTGTTCCTATCCTTACTTCCATTACAAACAGTCCATTTCCATAATGTTTTAGTAATGATTGATCGAAGTTTATTGCAGCATTTATTGAAGCACATGGTTAAAAATAGTAGTATAAATTGGAACTACGGTAATCTTTTTGTGTTTTTAATTGTTGCAATTGGTGTCAATTGACTTTTTTATACGAAATTTTTAGCCAGATTCTGTCAGCGAGTTCTTTTTGTCAGTGTATGGACCGGGAAGTGTGAAGCCTATTATCGTATTGAGCGCGACAAGCCGCGGCTCCTCACGATATCGATGTTGAGAGTCGAACGGAAACCCGAGTTTCGATTTGATTGTGACACTGTTTCAGAAATAACAGAAACTGACACGAAGCGGATCGGTAGAACGTTACGGGATACGGTTTTAAATTCCTTCGGGTAGTGAAAGTGTATCTAAAGATCAAGGCCTCGAAACCCCTCCCAGTTCGGTGGGTAGTGCTCTCGGTTTCAACCCCTCCATGTCGATAATAACCTGTTTCGCCAATCTCTCACAGCTGGGAGAAGGTAGACTTGGACTTAGACTGTTAGACAACCGTGGCAGTCACCCGGAGATCGTGTAGCGGATTCGTACGGTTTCTTACATTCCTTTCTATCGCTTTCGTGTTTTATCGCGACCGTCAAACCATGAGCGACATAGAGGATTACCGCCGGCACCTCGCCAACTACGGACAGGAACACGTTCTGCAGTTCTGGGACGATCTGAGTCAGGACGACAGAGACGAGTTTTTCCAGGAGATAAAGGACATCGACGTGCCGGAAGTCCTAGGCTATTTTAAGAAAGCAGTGGAAGGGCGAGATGAGAGCAAAGCGAAGATCGACGACCGGCTGATGCCCATCCCTCCCGGCTTGTACGGCGCCGTGTCCAGGACGCCGAAGGCCCTCCTCCAAAGTTACGAGGAAGAAGGCCTACTGCAGATCGCCGAAGGGAGAGTCGGCGTCCTGCTGATGGCAGGAGGCCAGGGTACCAGGCTCGGCTCCACCGACCCCAAAGGCATGTACGACGTCGGTTTACCCTCTCACAAATCCCTCTATCAGATCCAAGCTGAGAGGATAAGAAAACTTGCATCAATGGCAGAGGAGAAATACGGTAAAAAGTGTGTCATCACGTGGTTCGTCATGACCAGCGAGCACACATTAGCGCCGACGATCGAGTTCTTCACCAAGAACCGATATTTCGGCTTGGACAAAAACAATATAATTATATTCGAACAAGGACTCCTACCTTGTTTCACCTTCGACGGTAAGTTCATACTCGACAAGCCGAATAAGATATCGCAAGCTCCCGACGGAAACGGTGGGATCTACAGGGCGCTCAGGGACAGAAAAATTCTAAATATCATCGAAAACAGGGGTATCAAGTATCTACACGCGCACAGTGTGGACAACATACTTGTGAAAGTGGCCGATCCGGTTTTTATCGGCTACTGTGTCAAAAAGGGTGCCGAGTGCGGCGCCAAAGTAGTGGAGAAGGCGTATCCTACGGAGGCGTTGGGTGTGCTCTGCAGCGTCGACGGGAAGTATCAGGTCGTCGAGTACAGCGAGATCACCCTGGAAACCGCCGAGAAGAGGAACAACGACGGAAAGCTGACCTTCTCTGCCGGCAACGTCTGCAATCACTTCTTCACCGCGGAGTTCCTCAGGAAGGTCGCAGATAACTTCGAGAAGGCCCTCAAAATCCACGTGGCCGAGAAGAAAATCCCGTACGTCGACGCAGAAGGCAAGAGGCGCAAGCCGGAGAAGAACAACGGCATCAAGCTGGAAAAGTTCGTCTTCGACGTCTTCCAGTTCTCGGACAACCTCGTCGTCTGGGAGGTGGACCGAGAGGAAGAGTTCAGCGCTGTCAAGAACGGCGAAGGAGCTGCCAAAGACACGCCCATCACCGCGAGAAAAGACGTCTTCGCACTCCACAGAAAACTCGTAGAACGGGCCGGAGGCCGTTTCGACACCCAAGGGCCGGTTGTCGTTGAAATCTCACCACTTTTGTCCTACGCCGGCGAAGAACTCGAACGTATTGTCAAGGGCAAAACTTTTTCCTCGCCTTTACATTTGACTGCTCCTAACGAAAATCTTCCCTTCAAACATCGACTCTGAAGAAACTTAGATTAAAATATTAAAAAGAAAAAAAAATACAATCACAACAATAGCACTTTTTATTTTATTATTCGCGCACATTTAAAGTTCCTAAATTCAATATTGCCTTTTTTTAATTAAAAAAAAGGAAACATTTATCATTTCTGTTCATGATATCTCTCCAATTCAGATATTTGGCTACCAGATTCTTATACTCTTGTCGAATATGGCTTTTCCTTTAATACACTATGACTACAATAGATTTTATTTTTTAGAAATAGTTTTATAAACGTGCAATCCTTTTAAACCCCCAGATGATTCCTTGTGATATACCAATTGGGAGAAAGAGGCCTGATTTAAGTACTTAAAACTTTTTTTATTTTATTTATTCGTTGATATATTTACGTTAAGTTATTGAATATAACTTTTATATATTATACTTCTTTGCACATATATTCTGTTTTTATTGTTGTACTACTAATAACATTGAATGGCGTAATATTGTGCGAAAGATTTGGGATGCTTTCCTTTGTTCGAGCCTCCTTGAGAGTTTATATAAAATTGTATTATTACTAACGAAATGATTACCATACTTTTTGTTAATTTTAATTTTATATCTCGATTATATTGTTAATTAGGTGTACTATAATTGTATTTGTGAGGTGCGTGTGGTACTTCCAATTAGTTTCGCTGAGTAGATGAACATGGCTGTTTATACCTGAAATACCTGATTGAATTTTATGTGATATATGTGTGAAAATGCAATACTTTATAATTAATTGGAAAATAATTATCAATACGTACTTCAATTGTTTTTCCCTTTATGTCTGGTAGAAATCGAAATTAGCTTATATGTCCATGTTCTATGTGTTAAAAAATTATATTTTTTTGCCTCGTGTATTTGTTAAAATATATATAAATTTTATATTTTGAATGTGTCTTCTTTTACGCCTTTAGTTTCCTGAATGCTTTTTTTAAAAATTGTTTATATTGAGCGACGCAGATAATTTTAAATTTAACTCAGCGATACTCGAAGTTACAAACAGCAATTCTTAATTCAAGTACTATTAATTAATAATTGAACTTATCCATAGATTATTTTGATAAGATCGTACAAAAAGAATAACAAGATATGCCAACTCTCATTGATATTAATTTTTGCATATATAGGCGCTATAATTTCTTACCTGTACAGTTTAATGTATCTGTATTACATTATAACTCTATAATGTAGGTATACTTTTACCAGGAAAAATTCGCGAGGTTGACACAAAAGACGCTAACTTTTGGCCAAAGCCCGCGGGTGCCCGGCATGAAGGAAAATGTTGATTGATGTTTCTCACTTCATTGAATGGTACCACTCTATATAGAGAGCGTCTCCCTAACTGAGTGAATCGTATGCAATTAGGGAAGAACGTATTTAAGAGTGAGTAAGACTGGAATGGGAATTTAGGAACTGATTGCGTTGGGCTCTGAGATGACCTAGCTGTTGATGGCTCCTGAAGCCCAACCAAGGTGACTGGATGGATAAAACCGAGGTCTGACCCAGGACTGCCAACACCCGGGGTGGGTGAATTTCGATGCCTGTCGGTAATTTATTGTAAAGTACAAAAGACCGGTAAACTGCCAGAGGTGATCGAGTCACCTCGTATACGTGTGTTCGTATATGTGCAGATTTAAACTTATATAAGTCAGTAATAAGCCAAACATCTCGAGAAGGTTCAATCTTTTCTATGTTTTTGTTTTTTAATTCTTCGGTTCACTGGTTACCAGTGACCCGTTCTTCCACTGCGATAAAAAAGATCTGTGTAATGGCCTTTCTTTAGTACAAACCTAGAGACAGGCAGCTCTCAGGGCCTTAGGCCTCAAGTGAAGGCAAAGAGTGTTTGGAAATGCATGGAGGCCTTGACGGAAGTCAGCGACAGTAATGACCTGACCCTGGCATGGGTCCCTGGACATTCGGGGCATAGAGGCAACGAAAAGGTTGACCTGGCAAAAAAGGGAGGCAACATGGACTCGATGGGCTCAGAACCCTACTGCTGCCTAGCAGCCTGCCACAAAAGAGGATCTTAAAATTGATACTTAATGAGTCCAAAACCTGGTGGAACAATACCACATGTCTGAGGCACGTGTAGAGATTCATGGAAGGACCATACGCAAAACGTACGAAAGAACTACTGGAAGGCAACCGCAACCGAACCATGATTCTGGTTGGACTCCTAACAGGGCATTGCCACTTAAGAAAGGACATGCACCGGATAGGAGAACAGACAGAAGAAACACTGTGCAAATACTGCCTGGAAGAGGAGGAGACCGCAGAACACATTTTATGTTTTATGTAGGTGCAGGTTCTTGCAACTAGGACAAGAAAAACCACAAGCAAGATCCTACACCAAGGAACCGCTGGCAAAGTTGTGGAGGCTGATTAATAGCCTGAAGCTGGCCAGTGAGTTATAATTAGTAGAGGAGCACAATAGATCTGTTTAGGTCGTGGTGCAGTGGGCCTTGTGGCCGCCTCTCTTATCCCTATCCCTATCCCTACCAAACCTAAAATTGCACTTCCCTTCAAGTATTTCCAGGGCTCCTAATCGCTTATTTCTTAAGGCGTTAATATTGCCTTTCTGAAGATTATGTTTCTTTTCCGCGCTAATGCTGTGCAGTCACGAAGGATATATGTTTCTGCCTCTTCATGACAGAGTAGGAAGATTTCTGTCTCTGTTTTGCCCATTTTTTGAGATCATAATTAATAGGCATTGGCCAGTGTAAAGGCCTATTAATTTCTTTAGTTTTTGTCAATTTAGTGAGAGATAGATTTTGTATTCTTCGTTGAGATGCTGTGATAATTTGTTTGATTGGCCTTGGCGAATTCATACAGTTTGTGGTCATTTCTTCCTTCATCCATTTGTTCTGTTTCGCTTTAATCATGCTCTGGGGCTCGCAAATTATGCGATTACCGGATAACGGCCTTTATCCTTGCTTCAACTCAATTTTATCAAATTCGAGCTACACGTGCCATAATTAGAAGACGTGTATAATGTCTACGAAGAACTTAAAATCCTAGTGATATCGAAATAACTTCCAATTAATTTGTTTATCTCCTACAGGAGGAATTAATCTTATTTGATCGAAGGGTCTTTAGATATAAATTGAAAATTATAATGTAATAAAAAACGGAAAAAATAATCAAAAGAGATCAAGATTGTACAGAATGTAAACCATTCAGCGTATTTGTGGAAAAGTCTCTTAATACATCATGGCACCAAAACCGTTTAATCTTACTTAATCTGTTTTTATAGTATAATAAAAGAAAAGAAAAATTAAAGCCAGAATTTAAAAATCTTTCTTTGTAAAATCGATAAGAAAAAACAAATGTGCAACGAGATTATCTTTGTATTTCTATTAAAAAGATGTATTGCTTACCTAAAGATTTTGTCTTATCAGTAGTAAATAAAACCAAAATCGCAGATCCAAATTGATATCAATAATGGGGAATTTCTGATAATTTTGCAAATATAAGCGAAAGATTTTTTTAAAAATTTTAAATCTGTTTTATTTCGAGATATTTTTTATCTGATTAGATTAGAAGAGAAAAGGGAAGCTGTTTAAATATATAAAAAATATATTACAACCCTTGTGAAATGATTAAAATTCTTTATTATCCTTCTATTGAATAAACTATAAATGTTTCCTTGGTGCAGTAAACTTTAAAGCGCTGTTCACAGATGACTAATTATCTTATCATAAATTGCAATTGTATGACACTTCTGACAGCTATAATCAGTACCAATTTATTCTTTGGGATGGAACAATATGAAGTTGTTACATTTTTATTTTAAGAAAAGTACCGTTTACAGGCGAAGACGTTAATGGGTGGGTGTGCCGGGAGTGATTTCCCAAGTTAAAAAAACGTTTTTCTCCAGGATGCTAAAGTGAGCAGAGATGACCAACTTGTAGGATTTAATAAAATATTACAAGGTATTGGAAAAAAATAGAACATCCAAAATATGAAATTATAAATGGTTTTGAGCAGGTTGCCTCTATCAAAGAATAATAATTTTTCTCTGTGAATTTCTTTTTAAAAGCAAGCAATTTTTACGTTATTTTTTTTGTAAAACGCACATTGTGAATAACAATATTGTTTAGCAGCAAGATTTATACAAATGTACGGGAAATCAGTTGTCTTTTGGTAAACAGAAATGCAGACGTTTTCCTCGGAGACACAAAAATAAAAATATCTATACCTTTAAAAAAACATCGTATTGTACGAAAAATATATAAAACACACAATTCTTTTGGAGTTGGACAAAACTATTAATTCTCATTTTACAATTTAGGCGATTCCTCATTCTCGTACTCTGTTCCCGGCCAAAGCTAATATCTTGGCCATCTCGCCAGAACGTCAAAAAAAGGCTACCCAATAATTGACTTAATTGACATTATAACAAAAAAATTCTATATTAGAAATCATGGCTAAAGCCAATTTGAAAGAAGGCAGTCAGTGGCATTTTTTGGCAAGGGTGTGCTTCTACGCCCACCATATTCTCCGGGCCATCAATGTTTGACGCAATACCCTTTCGTCCATGAAAGAAAGAAAACTGCATTTCAGGTTCTTTTTTATAAAACAAGCATGGTTTAATATAAACTAAAGAACATTAAAATAAAGTTTAAAGACACTGCTCGCCTAACAATAATATTGTATAAAATTTTAATCCTCCGTGTCTCATTGAAACTATTACAGGTCACTTTACCAACCTTGTTAACCACATGCTTATGGATTTTCCAAATATCTGGAAAGGGTTTAAGTTATTATTTTAAAGACGCGACACTTCCCCCTGTTCTCTTTCCTACTTTGTTTGAGTCAAATAGCTGAGAGGGGTTCTCACCAGAATTAATTAAAAATAATAAACTTCCAAAAAATTTGGCGTCCGATCATATCGTTTTATTACTTCTAAATAGTGTCCTCTCCCAAATATTATTAAATCTATCTCCACAATATCCCTTGCAAAATCCCAGTTTCGATAGAATCGCAGATAAAGAAGTGTGTGGT